ACTCCCTCTGGGTGACCACAAGTCACCACAAGTCCACCTTTTGAGAGACATTTCTCTTTCCTAACTTCGAATCTGAACCTTCCAGGCTGCACTTTGCAGAGGTTTCCTTCTCTTGCTGCTAGCAAGAAAACCTCCATCATCTCTGCAGCCACATTTCACCTAGTTGTAGGCTGCTACTACAGTGTCAATTCAGCAGGTGGAGTGAATACCCCTCAGCAAGCTGATCTAAAGGAGGCTTCTAGAGGAATGGGTGATGCAATCAGTATAGAGAAAAAAGCACCATGAGAGAGCAGTGGGAAAACACAATGGTCTGGATTGAGAACTTGTTGGCAAGAGCCAAAAGGAAAGGTGGAGTCCTTGGGTGCAAGGTACCCCATGCTCTGGAGACAGGGCGCTCCATCTGGGACAGCTTCCTGCCTGTAGCACCCTCTCTGCTGCACACACCCCGCTCTCTGCCCGCACTCACAAGTGTCTCACAGAAGCTTTGCACCTCCACTGCAGGAGGTTCCTGCATTCCCCAGGCTCAGGGATGGATCCTGTATCCCACAGGAGAAGCAGGATAAGGTGTTTTTGGGGTGGTTGTGGTTTTCTGAAGGGCTGTTTTGGCTGTTTTGTTTTGGTTTTGGTCTGGTTTTGGCCTGTTTTGGGTCTGTTTTGGGGCTCTGACCCTGTATCCCACAGGAGATGAAGGAGAACGTGGTTTTGGCATGGTTTTTTGTATGTTTTGGGGTGATTTTGTTCTCTTTTGGGGCTGTTTTGGGGCTCTGACCCTGTACCCCACAGGAGAAGCAGGACAAGGTGGTTTGGGGCTGGTTTTCTCCTGTTTTGTGGGTGTTTTTGGCTGTTTTGAGGCTCTGGCCCTGTATCCCCTAGGAGAAGCAAGACAAAGTGGTTTTGGTGTGGTTTGGGTTTGTTTTGGTTTTTTCGGTGGTTTTGGGTTTTCTTCTGTTTTATGCCTCTCTTTTGGGGCTCTGACCCTATATCCTACAGGAGAAGCAGGAGAAGTTGGTTTTGGTGTGGGCTGTTTTTGTCCTGTTTTTGAGGTCTGACCCGATATCCCATAGGAGAAGCAGGACAAGGTGGTTTTGGCTGTTTTCTGGGTTTTGGGTTGGTTTTGGCCTGGTTTTTGCCTCTATTGGGTTTGTTTTGGGGCTCTGACTTTGTATTCCACAGGAGAAGCAGGACAAGGTGGTTTTGGTGGTGTTTGGTGGTGTTTTGTGGGTGTTTTTGGTTAGTTTTGTCCTGTTTTGGGTCTGTTTTGGGGGTCTGACCCTGTATCCCATAGGAGAAGCAGGATAAAGTGGTTTTAGGGTTTTTTTTGAGTGTTTTGGGGCTGTTTTGGGAGTTGTTTTGGGCTGTTTAGTCCTGTTTGGGTCTTTTGGGGGGTCTGACCCTGTATTCCAAAGAAGAAGCAGGACAAGGTGATTTTGGGGTGATTTTGGCCTTTTTTGTGGTTTTCTTTGCATGTTTTGGTCTGGTTTTCCCCTGTTTTTGGGCTGTTTTACGGCTGTTTTGGGGCTCTGACCCTATATCCCGTAGGAGAAGGAGGAGAAGGCATTTTTGGGCTGGTTTTGGGTGTGCTTTGGGGCTTTTTTTGTCCATTTTTGGGGCTCTGACCTTGTATCCCACAGGGGAAGCAGGATAAGGTGGTTTTGGGATAGTTTTGGGGTGGTTTGGGGGTGTTTTGGTCTTGTTTTGGGTGGTTTTGGGGTGGTTTTGTCCTGTTTGTGTGGCTGTTTTTTGGTTCTGACCCTGTGTTTCATAGGAGAAGCAGAAGAAGATGGGTTTGGGCTGGTTTTTTGGGGTGTTTTTGTCCTGTTTTGGGTCTGTTTTGAGGCTCTGACCCTGTATCCCATAGGAGAAGCAGGACAAGGTGGTTTGGGGGGGGTTGTGCTGTTATTGGGGTGGCACTGTGCACCCAGGGGTGCTCCGGGAGTGACCACATGAGTAACCTGTTCTAGTGGAAGATGTCCCTACCTGTCGTAGCGCTTTCAATGAGCTTTAAGATCCCTTCCACCCTAACCCACTCTGGGATTCCATGATACTCTGCTGTGCCAATGTCGGTCCCTCTCCACTCCTCGTAGGTGGCCGTGGCGCCCTGTTCCATTGCCCACGTTGAGCTGTGACCCCTCGCATGCTCCACCTCCGGACCAAAGGCACTGAGGAAGAGCAGTCTGTGAGGGACCTCCCCGAGCCAGCTGGGCAGAGGCTGGTCCCCCTGCAGGGACTCCTGGAGCATTCCTGCATTCCCCAGGCTCAGGGATGGATCCTGCATTCCAGGCAAGTTTGGGTACTGCAAGAGAGGGAGACAGGAAGGTGGGCTCATGGGGCATGATGAGCAGCGTTCAGGCACCCCCAGCAGTGGGCATTCCCCATGTGCCACGCTGAGGCATGTTCCCATGAGGGAAACTTCTCAGATAGCCTCTGGTTTGTCCAGGGCCTGGCCTGCAGCCACACTCCAGGAACACCTACTCCTCCTCCACCTACAGACACCAACTGCTCTCCATTGCTGGGCTCCATCATGCTTGTAAGGATTTGTTAAAGCCCTGAACCATCACCTTGATTCTTGCTGACTTCCCTCCACCCTCTCTCACCTCCCTACACACTGCTCATTGCCACCAGTAACTAACTGAAGAGTTAAGAAGCTCTCAAGGCTTTCCTCAGGGGCTGACCATGTTTCTCCATTCACCACTGATGGATCCATTGAGTGCCAGGTGTGAGGTTCCTGCAGAGGCAGAGATGCCCCTGGGCAGAGCCCTGCTGCTGGGAGGGGTGTGCAGGGCAGAGCTGAGCACACAGCCCATGGCATGGGCTCTGGGGGCACTGAGAGGGAGCAGAGCTGGGCACAGAGCAGCAGCTCCTGGCAGGGACAGCTCCAGGCAGTAGAGATATGGATGGGCAGGGAGTGGGGGGAAAGTGCAGCCCAGCCCTGGGGAGGGTGCGTTCAGGCAGCTCTCTTGGGGTCTGCCACTGGAGGTGGCTGCTGGCTGTGCTCTGCTGCCCACAGCCCTTTGCTTCTCTCCATGAGAGCTCCATGATCTTCTCTTTGAAACCGTGCTCCCCTGCTTTCAGCACAGGACAGGTGTTTGTGGGGGTTCTTAAGATCAATTTGTGTGTGAAGGCATCACACACAAGTGTTGTAAGCACAGGGCAAATGGGAAAGGAGTGATGGACACTGCAGCCCTCCTTGCTCTGCACTAAGCTACAAGGAGCTGAGAACTTCTCCCTGTTTCAATATTGTTCTGATTTTCTGTCATACAAAGAATGTTTTATAGCCCCCCCCCCCCCCAATAAAAACACCTCAGCAGTGTTATGCCAGTAAATAAGTAACACAATCCAAATGACTCTAAGGCCATGCTGAGCCTCTCTTGTGCAGCCCAGACTCACTTGAGTCATGAGTACAAGTAGTGAACTTTACAATGAAGTTGGATTTCATCTGTCATCCCTTGTGAACATCAGAGGTGGACAAAGCACTGCTTCAGAGCAAAGCTGACTCCCATCCAACCTGGCCTTGACCACTGCCAGGGATGGGGCAGCCACAGCTTCTCTGGGCACCCTGTGCCAGTGGCCCACCACTCTCAAAGGGAACAACTTCATCTGAATGTCCAAGCTAAATCTCCCTTTTTTCAGCTTAAAGCCATTCCTCCTTGTCCTGTCACTGCACAGCCTCATAAAAAGCCCCTCTCCAGATTCTTTGTAGGCCCTGCTTAGACACGGGAAGATTGCTAAGATGTCTCCCTGAAACCTTCTCTTCTCCAGGCTGAAGACCAACATCTCTCAGCCTGTTTCCATTGGAGATGTGCTCCATCCATTAGAGCATCTTTGTGACCCTTCATAAGCCCATCATTGTAGGATCAGAAGTGAACAAGGGTAAAGAAGGGACCCCAGGATGTCTCAAGTCAAACCCACCAGGAGCAGGGTCAGAGCAAGTGGTTCAAGGCTTGATTCAGTCTGAGTTGGCAATCCTTAAGGCCAGAGACTGCACAGCCTCTCTGGGTGACCTGATGCAGCACTTGCCTGAGCCGATGGGAACAAGGTTTCCTTCTGTCCTGGCTGAACCTCTCCTCTGTCACTGTCCCCCACTGCCTTTTGTCCTCCCACCAGGCACCATGGTGAGGAGCCTGGCCATGTCCTCCTTGCCGGTACAGGCAGCCAGTCCCCAACAGCCTTCCCTTCCCAAGATCTCAGGTCCCCATCAGCCTTCCCTTCTCCAGGCTGGAGAAGTCCAGCTCCCCCAAACTCTCCCCGCCGGCATCGTGCTCCAGTATCTCCTGACCTGAGGGCCCATTACTAAACCCACTCCTGAACTGGGGATCTGAAACCTGGATGGAGGATTCCAGATCATCCCTTCACTTGTTCTCCTGCCGTGCTCCTGCTCATACAGCCCGCGATGCTGCTGTCCTCCCTTGCTGCCTCCTGTCCAGCTCCTGCCCACCCAGACCTTTCCCATGGGCTGTTCTCAGCCAGGCAGCCTCAGCCTGTGCCATTGCAGGGGAGCTCCCTGCAGGGACCCCTGTGTCCCCTGCTCCCCTGCCCAGGACACCCTGAGAGCTCTGCACCCCCCCCCATGCCATCCCATCTCCCCACTCCAGCACAACAGCCACATTCATTGGGCTCCCCAAGAGCTCTTCCTGCTGCAGTCACAGAGCAGCCATCCCAGAGCTGGAGCAGACAGAAAGCTGCTTTCATTCCCCTTCATTCCTGACATGTGAGGACGTATCACAGAGAAGAAGTTGCTGCAGGATCATTTATTTCCCTTAAGTACAATCAGAGACCAGAGTGACACAAAGTCTGTGGGTCACACAACACGAGTGGCAACTTAATTAGGAAATGAAAACTGACATTTCTATGAAGACAACATCATCACAAATTGAAATAGGAAAACAAATGTAAAGCAGGAAAGACAGGCATGGCCTGTCATGACCTCCACTGGAAACCCTTTCCAGGGTAAAACAAGCAGCATATATCTGCTGAAACACATCTGGTCACCAGCTTCCTCACAGCATCCTTGAGCTCCTGGTTCCTCAGGCTGTAGATGAGGGGGTTCACTGCTGGAGGCACCACCGAGTACAGCACTGACACCACCAGATCCAGGGATGGGGAGGAGATGGAGGGGGGCTTCAAGTAGGCAAAGACAGAAGTGTTGACAAAGAGGGAAAGCACGGCCAGGTGAGGGAGGCACATGGAAAAGGCTTTGTGGCGTCCCTGCTCAGAGGGCATCCTCAGCACGGCCCTGAAGATCTGCACGTAGGACCCCACAATGAAAACAAAACAGCCAACAGTAAGCAGGACACCAACCACAAGAAGCCCAACTTCCCTGAGGTAGGAGTGTGAGCAGGAGAGCTTGAGGATCTGGGGGATTTCACAGAAGAACTGCTCCACAGCATTGCCTCGGCACAGGGGCAGTGAAAATGTATTGGCCACGTGCAGCAGAGCATTGAGAAACCCACTGCCCCAGGCAGCTGCTGCCATGTGGACACAAGCTCTGCTGCCCAGGAGGGTCCCATAGTGCAGGGGCTTGCAGATGGCCACGTAGCGGTCATAGGACATGACAGTGAGGAGAGAATACTCTGCTGAAATGAAGAAGAGAAAGAAAAAGAGCTGTGCAGCACAGCCTGTGTAGGAGATGGCCCTGGTGTCCCAGAGGGAATTGGCCATGGATTTGGGGACAGTGGTGGAGATGCAGCCCAGGTCCAGCAGGGAGAGGTTGAGGAGGAAGAAGTACATGGGGGTGTGGAGGCGCTGGTCACAGGCTGTGCTGGTGATGATGAGGCCGTTGCGCAGGAGCGCAGCCAGGGAGATGCCCAGGAAGAGCCAGAAGTGGCAGAGCTGCAGCTCCCGCGTGTGTGCGAATGGCAGGAGGAGGAACTGGGTGATGGAGCTGCCGTTGGACATCTTCTGCCTCTGGGCATTGGGCACCGTCAGAGGAGAAAAAGGCGGTGACAGGTTAGGACAGGAGGGGTGTCAGATACAGAAGTTCAGTTTACACATTCACAACTGAGCACATTTTAGCAGGAGAGGAGAGGTTCAGCGTCATCACCATGTCATTACACTGCTGAGGCTTCTTCCGAGGTACAATCAGAAGAGCATTGCATCAGGCAAAAAGTCTCAGTTCTTTGCAGAACCAAGAGAGCTGCAGTGTCCATCAGTCCTCTCCCACTTGCCCTCTGCTCAAACTTGCACTGCCTGTAAGGTGCCTTCACACACAAATTGACCTTAAGAACTCCCACAAACATCTGTCCTGTGCTGAGACCAGGGGAGAAGGGTTTCAAAGGACAGTCCACAGAGCTCTCACGCTGAGAAGCAAAGGGCTGTGGGCAGCAGAGCACGGCCAGCAGCCACCTCCAGTGGCAGACCCCAAGAGGGCTGCCTGAATGCACCCTCCCCAGGGCTGGGCTGCACTTTCCCCCCACTCTCTGCCCATGTCTCTGCTGCCTGGAGCTGTCCCTGCCAGGAGTTGCTGCTCTGTGCCCAGCTCTGCTCCCTCTCAGTGCTCCCAGAGCCCATGCCATGGGCTGTGTGCTCAGCTCTGCCCTGCACACCCCTGCCTGTGCAGGGGCTCAGGAGCAGCTCACACGAGCCCTCACAAGACTCTCGGTGCCTCCCCCAAAGCAGAGAAGAAAATTCCCAGCTCCCACTGCCCAACCTGCCCACCAAGAGGGAAAAACTTCAAAGCTCAGCATCCTTCCCTATCAGGTAAATGATGCCTCAATGTCTTTCAGAAGGACCCTCTGAAGAAGTGCTCAGATTGAAGGCAGATTGGAGCAGCCTCACCCACCCAGCACTTCCCTTCCCTCTCAGAGGCTGTTCCCTTCCCCTCAGCTCCCCTCTCCCCCTCCGAGCTCCATGGGGAGCTCCCGGGCAGGCTGAGTGCTGACCCTGGCAGGCAGCAGAGTCCCTGCCCCTGCACACAGCCTTTGGGCTGCAGGGACCCTGCTGCAAGGGCAGCGCTGGGCACCCCTGGCTGCACACCCACATTCACACCCTGCAGCCAGCCCCGGGACAAGGGACCTGCCTTGTCCTGTCCCTGCATGGTGCAGGGGGAAGCCCTGTTCTGCAGCACATCCTCCTCCTTATCTACAGAGAGAAACTGCAGCTGCATTGCCCTGCACCCAGTGCCTTACCACAAACAGGGCTGGGAAGGTTTCTCCTTCAGAAAGTTCCTCCTCCTCCTCCTCAGCATCCTCCACTGCCAAGTGCCTTTAAGCTCCCTGTGTCTCGCAGGTCTCCCCTCGGTCCCAGCTCAGCAGCAGAGGCCCAGCCCAAGGTGGCTCTGCCTCTGCCCCCTGTGCTCCTTGCAGGGCTCCCTGGGGCTCCAGGGAAACACCATGGGAAACAGCCTGAAGCAAGCACTGATCTTCCCTCCCTCCGCTGGAAGGCACACTGCCTTCCTGCAGTGCCATTTCTCTGATGATACAAAGATTTAAGGCTAAAAATCTTTGTTTCTTACAATCAATCAATTAATTTGAAAATGGCCTTTTGAGAACATCGAGTCCAACCAAACCTATCCCTGGGAAGTCCACACACTGAGCATGAGAACATCTCTGGTAGGATACACTGGTTGGATGGTCAGCAACAGCAACTGGGGCTTTAAAGTTGAATTTTACATCCTACCTTAATTTCACTAATTTATATCCTATTCTGTTTGTTGTTAAACATTCTGCTATACATTAGAGCATAGAAATCAGCTGGACAAGTTATGTTGATGCAGAAACCTGTCCATATATATAATTGTACTTAAACCCATTTAAGAAATTCTTAACAACTGAGTAAAGCAACCAAACATTGCCCTCAATTTATAACTGGAATTCAGTACAACTCTGTTTGTTGGCACAGCAGCAAGAGGTGAGCACAGCACTCTGAGAAAGATGGACTGACTTTATTTACGGGATGGAATGCATCTCGATCTGTGCACAGCCATCTAGCTCCATCTCAGTGTGTTGTGTTAGGTTGGATATTTAATTGCAGATGCGTGTATATTAGCTTCAGTGATCAAGTGCTGTTACAAATCCTGTGATTGAGTTTACAAATGCAAACTGCTGCTAGCTGGCATTTGATTCTTTAGATGAATAGCAGGCCTGAGACTAAGATGGAATCCAGCTGCATGCAGACTGCTCTCAGAGAGGGAACTTAGAAAGCAAAGAGATCCAGTCTGAACCTCATGACTCAACAAGAGGGTCTCCCTTATTCCTTTCTGTTTGCAGTTTCTATACACATGATTTCAGTTCAATGCTGTATAAATCACAGTCAAATTGGGCTTTGCCACCTCTTTTCAGGCACCTGTGGAACTTCACCCTTTCAGTTTTCCTCCTCAAGTTCTGCCTTTCTCAAAGCCTTTAAGAGAAGCTCTAAGGAGTTTTCTAATTTATACCCAGAGTGGTTTGTTAAAAACAAAGGCAAGAATTTTATCAGTAGAATTTGCCGCAGGAGAGTTGCACCTTGGTTTGAGGCAATGGGGATTAGAGAAACCCAAAGATAACATGGAAACACACCAGGACCCTGAAACAACGGGAAAACCAAAGGTAATGAAGAAACCCAATCATAAGTCTTTATTTCCTATGCAAGAAGTCATTCCTGGCACAAATTGCAGCTCCCCCATATCTTGGTTGCTATAAAATCGCAATGCCACCAGGGAAAACAGTCACCACAGGGTTTCCCCACACACCCAAAACTTCCCTATTTCTTTAGCAGCTCATCACTCAAAGGCGAGAGATGTCCGTTGATCCAGTTGTGTTAACAAGCTCCTCTGGGAATGGATTTGGAGCTGATGGGCTGATAGGCAGGAGAAGGCTTGGCTGAGTCCTGGGTGGAGATTTTCCACCTGTGGTCACTTGAGTTGTGGCTTCCCCAGTGGGAAAAACACTCTTTAATCCAGGGGAAAATAACCCAAACAGGGATGTGACCCTGGCCAGCACTAAGGAATAAATCTTTATTTTTTTATACTTTCTTCTTTATTTATACTTTATCCTTTATATTTTATTTCTTATTATATATATATTTATTATATATATATAATATATATATTCTTATTCTTTACTCTAGTTTACTGAAGTTACCATCCTGATGCTGACTCTTACTGTTGCCAGCAGGACATGACAGTATCCACATATGCCTGCTCTTTAGATGCCCATTTCCCCTTCAAAGCTGCATTTCATCTACTTCTGAACAAAATCTTTTCCTTTTCCTGTGTGATTTTTGTTCCTTCTTGGTACCATTGCTCTCTGTGGTCACCTCCAAGAGGTGCAAAATGGTCACAGGAGTCCCTCTAGGTATCAAAAGGCAGAAGATTTCAAGTAAGTGGCTAGAAACTCATGGATCAGGATTTCTTATACAACACCACCATCTAGTGGAGGTTTCTGGAATAGTCTCTCCTTTCATTTAAGATAAAACCACCTTTTTCTTACGTGCTGCAAGGTTTTGCTTGGCTGTAGGGTCTCAACAGCAGTCGGATGTTCCCTTATCCATGTCAAGAGTTACATCTTGGATAACACTAGCAACAGTCTGCTTGGTGAGTCCTAGGGCAGCTTGTTGAAAGCTTGGCCAAAAAGCAAGGTGTTGCCAAATCGGAGTAGGAAAGCCACAAATGGAGGTCCTTTCCCCAGGAATACAGGGATAAATATTCAGTTAACTCTTCAGCAGAGTGCGGACCCGCAACCTGCATGGATAATATCTAAACGAGGGCGGCAAGGTATGGGTTTTCAGTTTAATTTATCTCCATTCCAGTGAGTGTGCTCAAACTGCAGGGAGATGTGATTGCTGGGGGGAAGTTGTCGTGTATAGCACAAGCTGCAGCCTTAGACACATCCCAGCTTTCATATCTGCACCTTGGATCACTTCAGACCAAGCACTTGGTTTGTCAAGCAAGAAAAAGCAAGGGTGAGCCTTTGTTAATTGTGAGCTTCAGGTCAATTGTCCCCTGGCAGGAGATGTGTGTGTCTGGGCAGGTGGATGCTGCCTCAGGGGGAGGATTGAGCCCCAGACCCAAACAGTTTGATTTTCATTACTTGGGTCACATCTTCCAGCTCCGTGGTGATGGCTCAGGAGCTGCTTTGCCTCCGGCATGTCTATGTGAGCAGTGAAAAGCAGCTCTAAATCCCCATTAATAACACCAGGAGACCACACGCGTTGCTCACAAGACATCTGAACTGAGGAGTCTGGCTCTGGAGGGGGAGCTCACCCCTTCAGCAAAAGGTCATCAAATGATGATGACTCTTAAGCATGGCTCTGTTTGTCAGATGCCAGCCACGCACACTCCTGCTTTGCTCTCTGGTGTAACTCTGTCAAGTGATGATTAATGTTAGGCAAGATAAATCAATGAGGATTTATTCTACCTGTCGTAAGCTGTGATTTTAGGAGCTGCTGATTTCTCCCAGGGAGAACTTATCTTTGGTCAAACCCGAATATATCTTTTGTCTCCAATTTAGGCATCGTGTCTAAAGCAAAGTGGGGTGAGAAATCCTGGTTCTGCACCATACTACCCTAAGGAAAGCCACATTTGCTCTCAAGGATCTCCTCCTGGGTCACAGAGAACAGCTATTTATTCCTCATGTACTTACACTGGACTAGCATCACCCAAAAGATGAGAAATAATTCCCTTTTCCCAGCAGTTACTGGGGAATTTAAGGACTTCCATGCGTCAATGGCTTGAGAGGAACTATGAGGAACCCTGCAGTTTATTCATTCTGGTGTTGCCCTCCTTCCTTTGCCTTAAAACATCTGCTTGCTTCTAA